AAGATACTTCTAGAAAATACGTGGCGTCAAAATAGTCATGTGATCACGCTGACGCAACACTGTGTTGTAGCTTACAGAGTGAATAATTCTTCTCCATGCGTACGTTTTACTGACGTCATGACAATACAAATTGCAGCGTTAAGCGTTTCTTATGTGACGTTATTTTAGTGTCTACTGATTGAATGACAGATAACAACTATTGTATATTGATGCGAGTGTTCAAAACGGGTGACCTCTCCAAGCTACCTTCGGTCCCCCTTTTGGGGACATGAACCTGTATTCGGGATATCACTTTTGGCTTAGTATAGGTGGTCTTATGAATTAGTTTTTTTTTTGCTGTTGCTAGTATCGATCGCGTACGACAAGTTTAGAAAGAAAAACAGTCTGAGTATCTAACCCTTTATTCGTTTGCCACTGATATTTTACAGAGGGCTGAGTACGTTATATTAATACAATGTTTAATACGTAACAACCACAGCGGTGCAACGACATATAGCAGCAGAACTGTTTGGTGTTCGTAGGCAGTGTGATGTCACCAAATAAACTTATATATAAATTTTGGAAAGGGTGTGTAATAGCAGTTTCCGGCGCAAAACATTTCTACACTCAGATCATAAATAGGTGTTCTGATAAAGGACTTACTTCCAAAACGGAATTATCCATTATACTTAATGGTACTGGGAAACAAATGAATGTGGATATATTAGGCAACGTGAACTATCTACAAATGATCTTGCAACAAGTCGTAACCCAGCTGTGGTAAGCAGTGTGTGGCCTCTTGTTACAGGTGGAATTCACAAACATAAAGGTCAGTAGCAAAAACAGTCAACATGCCACAGGCAACAATTACATTTTACAAGTTGTTTCCATGACATATCCGTTCAATCGTCACATACCTTAAGCAGAGAGAAAATGAAACGGTATTCATGGAATTCCATAAGAAGACATACCGGTCAAGTCTACGGTCGCAGCGTTTATGGAGTTCTATGTGACCGGACTTTTGAAACGAGCTTTGGAAACCCGTCGTCTTCCTACACTAGCTAGGTTATACAAAGCAGCCGGAAGGAGAGATGTGCCTTGGATATGAAAGCTTTACGATGGAGACTTTTTCAATGGAATCTATGCTGCAAGGCTATTGTCAAGATGCACAGTCGTTAGATAGAGCATGATTGGACGTGTCAACATGGACTGTAACGACGTGGTGAGACTTCAAACTCGTCTTAATATAATGTACACAATCTGTGTATATTACCATTTCTGTAGCAGTTACAGTCTGTTTTTGCTATCATTCTTATTTATCAGCAGTTAGTTATATGAAAGTTTCGTGTATATATATATATATTAGTCATTGACAGTTTACTTAAGCTTATATTCTACACGTTATCACATAGAAACATCAAGTAATCATATATTCTGGTTTTAGTACATAAATCTAGGAGTTCTCAAAGTAACTACAGTTTGGTAGATTTTAGTTATAGAAGTCAACGAACTGTAAGAGGTTTAAAACGTTAACCTCGTATAAAAACAATCATAAGCCTCAATCTTGAATTTGACATTCTTTGAAAGAGAAATTACTTTTTTAGTTTTGTTTTTCTACGCATGTGTGTGTGTTATATCAAAGGATGTAAGTCGTAAAAGAATAATTAATCTAATGATAGAGAAATGGGTTGCATAATATAGAAAGAACATATAAGAATATAGAAAATCACTAGATATTTAGTCAAATATCAAATTCAAGTGATCGCTTGCATTCTTTAAAACAGGGAATTATGAGACCTCCAGCTAGACCTAGAATGTGAATATGTATGATTGATACAAAAATCAATAATAACTAAATAATAGGAATAAAGGAATTATCTCAATATATTGCTTATTATGTTTTTTTTTACAGTAAGTTAGCTTAAAAATCTCTGATAAGTAGCATGTGATCTATATTTTTGAATTGTAATTATATATGCTATTTAATGTGTAAAAATATTCACTGATTTACTGATTTTTGATAGTCCAGTTGGTGATAACATGACTCAGTGACTGTATGTTTACCTTAAAATGTAGATAATAACTCTGTGTTATATTAATGTGTTTCCATTTCAGAAATCGGCATCCAAAGTGCAAATAACAAAGTAACGTTTTCTGCTCTACAAGTTCAAGTAATTTATGAGGTTATAAGTTAGAGGAATATGAAGTGGACATGTGAGTAACTCCTTGGTGGGAATTATTTTGAGAAGTTAAACTGAACATTTATATGAAAAAGACAGGCAAAGATAAGGTGAGGTCCTGTTGTTTAAAATTCAATAATTAATGCATTTTTTTTCTTTAGAAGAATAATTGTACACATTGGCAAATAACGAAATAAATGAGTTTGAAGTAAAATGCTAATTTGAGAACGGTTTTAGAACAACAATGATGACATTATAAGTGTATGCATAACAACACAAAAGCTTTATTTATGTGAAATTAACTTTAGTTTAAAAGGTTAGAATGTTGAGGAAAATGACGATCAAGCATACGAAGTGTAGGATTTTTTCTTCTTAAGAATTTGATGAATGAAATGCGAAACATTGACACAACTGTTTCCTTAGTTCTTTGAGGTCCCCTGGTGGGTTATTGGTAAGTTTACGGAGTTAAAACGCCAAACCCCAAGATTCCATTCCCCGCAGTGGACCAAACGCAGATAGACCATTGTGTGGCTTTACGCTAAAAAAAAACTTACTTAGGTGGAGTAGGAATTTCTTCATTGTACTCACTAACCTTCAATCTAGTCTAAACATTAATATTTTTTTATATGCAATAGTTGATTTAAAATAATTTAACGCAGAAAATTTAATTCGTTCGGTGAAGTTTCTCAGTTCGTACTTAGTTGCAAAGAGCTGTACAAAAACTGTTTGAATTAAGAAAACAACAGAGTGATAATAGCAATTATCTGTATTCCAGCAACTGAAAAAAGTTGTTAGTCTTCTAGCAATGTTTTCTCGATACATTTGCATGTTTGTTTGCGAATTTTCGCTTAAAGATATATAAGATCTATCTGCGTATAACCGCCCCTAATTTTTAACGAATAGACAACAGGGAAAGGAGTTAGTTAAAAGCACCCACTACCGACTCTTAGTCTACTCTTACCTGACCGAATAGTGAGAATTAACCGCCACCCTTATGGTACACCTAGATTCTGAGTGTATTTTTGCGTCAACGGATTCACGGTCCGAGCTCGCTAGCTACTAGCCCATGCCCGAGCATGATTACGGTATTTTGGGTTGTAATTTGGCAGAATTGACTTCATTATTGCCCTCTAATATTGCTTTTGCGTTAATATGACTAATTATTTGCAAATCTAAAATTCGTAGTTAAAGAAAAACAAAAAAAAAACATTGATAGCATTTAAAACCACTTCCGCCTATGAAGTCTATTGTGCATCAAAAGCATACTCTACCCTGGTTGTTAGTTAGGGAATGGAATATTTTTCTATAACAATATAGCGAGAAAGTTGTAAACCAATGTACACATGCTTACATTAGCTCATCTAATACTAACTAAGTCCGTTTTGTTCTATTGTTTGCTGTGCTGGAGAGAAACACAGCTTCTATATTTTAATCGCTGGAAAATGATAAATGTAAATGCCCTAATTTTAACAAAGAGCTTCCTTCTCTATCTTTAAGGCCCGACAAATGGCACAACCTTCCCTAAACAAGATCTCAAGTTTCAACCTATCTCAGTGCATCTAGGCTAATCAAGTAGCAATATGTATTATCCACGACGTGTTCTTGAATAATTTATATACTACATCGAGCCAAAGGCGTGTTCATTTATTTTCACGGAGTTCTGTTTATTATCGAGTATTTTTACTCCTGGTTTCAAGAACACTTTAAGTCCATAAACTATACTCTCTCATCTGTGATAATACACTTTTCTGTATTTTATTTCTCATTGTACATGTTGCTTAATGTGTTTTATCGGCTAAAGATTCTGCACGCTGAAAGTATTTTGCAGTTGCGTGACAACATATAGTTTTCGATATTCCGAATGACAGTAAAGTTGTAGTTCGCCAGTGTTTCAGCAATGCCTTGGGCATTATTTATGAGCTTCGCAAAACCCACTATGTTGCCATTGCAACAGAATCTTTATTCACCAAGGAAAGTATTGCATTTCTAAAGTTATCGTAATTGTGGCTTGGATGTCGATCCATCCTTCAGGTATATTCCAAGTAAGTTTTCCTTTAGTTCAAGCCAAAGATAAGTCTTACATATAAGCTAAAACGAAAATATTTAATAATCTTATGTTTCAGTTACTATTTAAAGCCACTGTACGTATAAAGAAATACGTGTAAGAATCTCGTACATTGTTATGTCTGGAGTTCCTCGAATCATAAGTGCAAAAAACGGGAATGATAAAAGTTGTTTTTCTTTCTTATTTCGTAATATTGGGAAGTGAGTTTAAACTTGTAATGAACAGATGTATGATAAGCCATGCAAAACATACAATAACTTAAATGTTATTACTTAAATTAACTTACTAAATAATATGAAATAACAGATGTTATCAGTGATTCAGCGTTGGTAAGACACACATCCTCATGTTCTTTTGTCAACATATCCAAAAATATAGGTATTTTCTTCGTTTTACATTCTACTTTAATATAGCTTGGTGTCAAAAATACTAAGGTCTTGTGCATTCTCTTATTTCGAAATATATTACAGTTTTCCTTTTTTATCAACTTTTCTCAAAGTTTTTCATTTTCCTTCCCTGTCAACAAGGTCGATACTTTTGTACTCTTCAAACATCAAAACCATTATTTAGAATGAAAACGAAAGATGTAAATGAGAGAAAATGCCTTAGAGCTCTGTAACGAAATAACAAAACTGCGTGCAATTTTTATTATTTTCTCGAGAATTATCTGTAAAAAATAGCATAATAAAACTTAACCAAAATTAATTTCTCACGGTAAATAATTATATACTACCTGTTTATGCAAATAACTTGATTTCACTCTTGAATCTCAGTTTATTCATGATATCATTTTGTTATTATTCCGAAGCTAAAATTCATGAGTTGTTTATTATACAGAGTCTATAAAAGGTAATAATTACCGTGTAATCCAAATATTTCCAGACATATTTCCCTACTCCCTGACATTCATTTCCGTCCCCAGGTGTCTCAATTATAACTAAGTTTGTTGGCTTATAATGCTAAAAAAGCGGCGTTTCGTTACCTGTGGTAATAACAGTGTAGATAACTATATTCGCTTAAACCCAAAGAAACATTTCACCTTTAAATCTATAATATAAATCGAACAAAGCTCAAACTTATGGCAAATATGAAAGTTTTTTTATACTGATTTTGATTTAATTTCCTTGACTTACTGTTATCGTGTTTTTTCTCGGCGTAATTTTGTTTTCTACATGATAGTAACTAAAAACTGAGAGCCTTCAAGTAATCTAAAGTGCATTACGAGGGACTTAATGTGGTCATGTTATCATTACTGTCATCATCTGCATCTTGGTGTATGTTTCATTTCCTTACTACTGGATTTAAAGTTATAGGGCCATGTAAATATGGAAACTTCATAATGAAATTTCATTGAATGCATTTATATGTATTAATTTTTTTCCACTTAAGCACATGCGCGTGTACCCCTGACAACCAAACATGTTTGTTCTATTGTACCTCATACAGGGATGTATTAAATAAAATTGTATGCAGTGTGTTGCCTCAACTAAAGTATACATATATAGAAATAAAAGTAAGATCGTAATTAACAGATACCTCAATCCTTTTTAGGCAGTTAAAATGAATATCACGTCAGAGAAATTATTAAAGGTACACCTTTCACTTCCTTAACTCTAAATGTAAAACTATATGTTATGTAAATATTGGAACAGCATAATGATATTTCTTTGAACTATACAATTATCAGAAAAACCTACTTATAAATATCAACTATTTGTGTTACCTCTAAACACCTTTACTCATTGTTCATAAGTACTTATACTTCTTAGTAAATCTGTTTGTTTGTTTATCTTTTAGGGGCATGCTCTGTGTACTACACAAGAATCGAACTCCGGATTTTTGGGTTAAAATACGTAAACTTACTACTTAGCACTGATAATAATTAATCGGCATGATCATCGTTCTGTTTTAATCGTATAGAGCTTTAAGTGTTTTTATATGTAAGTCTCGTAAGACTAGAAGTGACAATACAATCAATGGTCATATCGCCGTAATATTAACAGCTGGCGAATGTGATAAAAAGGAAAAAATAAATAATCCTCAATAGCCGCGGCACATGAAATTTCTTTTGGCAGGATTAGAGTAAATTAATCCATGATACTTTTTTTTCTCTTTTTATCAGCTATATTTTGTGCGCCAGCAATACCAAACGTGGGGTGCGCGTATACCCGATTCGATTTTATTACTCATCAGGATCTTTACCAGCCTACCCTCAAATTGAAATCCTTTTAGGCAGGATTAGAGAAATTAAACCTTGGATAGAGACCTTGGACGTGATCAAATACATCAATCGAAAACGTCCGACCTCCTGGGTCCAAAACTGTAATTAGATCTCAAATGGGTCAAAAGATGAAGGAGCTATAAGCTAAAAGTGTGTGCAAAAATAATAATAAAACTCTGGGCCATTCCATCAGCCACTATGTTGCGGCTAAAAATAATGTGTCGTATTTCTAGTCATGCACAGATCAGGTGTATCCCATGAAACATCAAAAGTAAGTTGCACTTAAGGATTGTTCATGTGATTGCGAAATATAAGCTCTTAAGAATCTCTTTACCTTTAACGTTAAGTTTATACAGCACACTGCAAAATATATTCATACTAATCTATAAGAGATTGTCAGAAGTGATACCACATGGTGTTATCATGATACATTTTCTTACGAATATAGCTTTTACCATTCAAAGTTTTATTACTGGTCACAAAATTATGCCTTGAAATTCGAAACAAAGCATTTAAAGACGAGGGTAACTCATTATGTATATTGAATTTGTAACTTCCACATTTATATGACTTTCATACATATATATAAATATATTTATTTACTGAGATCTGTATTTACATATAGCTCTAAATTATTTTCCAAATCAAAATATTTCCAGTCCTAATGCACATGTCACAACTTAGTTTTTCATGTTAAAGCAACTAAATATCATACTTTTGGTCTTTTATTAAAAAGGCACTGCGTTTGTGCGGATGAATAAAGGATAATTGTGTTATCTACTGTCATTTAGTAGTGTAATATAGCAGTATTCTATTTATAATGA